GTAAATATAACTTTCAACTACTATATATACATACTCTATTGAATCTTAGGAGTATGTTTATTTCGGGTGTTGAGTCTTCCATAACCTAATTCTTAATATCCATTTCAGAATCAATCACACATATCTCTCAAACGCGTATAAATATAAACTCGTTCAATCTCTAACTCTGTTAGACTGAATAACAGAGATCACAGAATATGGAGCAGCCTTAATTCGCTTTTAAAGTTTGTATAAATTGTGTACCAAAAGGGAGTCATTAGCTTTCCATTCAACTCCCTGTATCTTCATCATATTGAGTTACGTTTCCGGCGTGTATCCTTTATTATATAAACGGCAAATTTCGTCCGTGTCTTTTGTTTAACGTAATCAACTTAAAGAATATCATCTGGTTTTCTTTCTTCTTCTCGAATAACGTTTTGGGACTTAATGAGAATCTCTCTAGATTTATTTTTGAAGGTAAAAGGAGACATTGACACGTTAAAAATATGATTCAATGTATCTACATACAGTGCGTTAAGTTTTTGATTAGGTATTGCACACTATACGGAGCGCTAAAATCGGCAACGTTGCAAATGTTCGTTCTCCGACCCGAGACTATCTCAGTATCTACACCGACAGAAAATCATTTATTTTAGTTTAGTAAAGGTCGATTCAGACACATCAGTCCCGTCATAGTCTCAGCGCCGAACCGGTCCTATTTGGTCACAGAACTATCAACTATCTGATAGCTGGGAAACTCTTTGTCAACTGATGAGTGTGAATGCCGGCAACATATTTGTATTAAAGAATATTTTGTACGACGGATTGTTCGGTTCGGCGCAATCACTGTGACGAGACGTGACTGATGTGTCTGAATCGACCTTTACTCACAACAACGTTTGGGATGTACTTCTCTGTCGTCCGATCTCATGTTTCATTACGTATAGCCGATTTTAATAGTAGGAAATTCGATAAAAATGCAGTGACCTAATCGGTGCATTGTTATCGATTTTTATTAATGTGAAAATTTTTTTGTGGTTGAATTGAAAATAAAAGCGTATTTCTTTAAAAAGATAAAATAAAAAATATACTCTTATTGAAAATTAAAATATTATTCCTAATAAAATAAAAAATAATTCTTTATGAACTACAGAAATGATTCAAATAGTTGACCTTCTACGGCTGAACAGTACCCCAATCTGTCATAAAAACTTCTGCGAACAGATGAAAGAGTTTCTGCTATAACAGAATTGGAGACTTCTCTTATTCGATTTTTTAATTCATCAAAATTTTGGGCTCTAGCCTCAGGATGAGCGTAGATAATGCTTTTTAAATGTCCCCAAAAAAAGAAGTCCATGGGTGTAAGATCTAAAGATCGCGCAGGCCACTTAATATCGCCTGTTCCACTGATAACTCGATTCGGGAAAGTATTGTTTAAATACTCCCTAATAATTCGAGCGTTGTGAACTGAACAGCCGTCATGATGAAACCAAACATTCTCCAGATTTACATCAGGAAGATTGAGAATAGCGGGAAGAAAAGTCTCCTAAAGAATTGGTCTCCTAAAATGCCAGTAAAGACGTTAACTTTTTGAGGACGTTGAGTTCGGTAAACAACACTTCTGTGCTGATTTTCCCGCGCCCATATCTCGTAATGGAAGGATTGTGTCTCCCTACTAACGAAACAGAAGATTCATCAGTGAATAAAATGTTTTTAATAAAATTTGGTTCACTATTAGCCTTCGTTATTAGAGTTTCACAAAACTCCATTCTTCGAAAGTAATCGTCTGGATAAAGCTGCTGCGTTTTCGAATATTTAAAATTCTTGTAACTGTGCTTTTTCCATACTTTCGTTACAGTAACATTGCTAACATCTAACTCTCTAGCAACGCTTCTACTTGAACGTGTTGAATCTACCTCGATTGTTGCACAAATTTGTGTATTCCGGTATTCTCTTTCCTCTACTTTTTCTGGTAACACTTCTTGAGCGTGACATTTTCTACAATTTTTGAGGCAATAACAACTCTCAAAATTTTTAACAATATTATAAATTTACTGTACACAAGGAATTGGTTTTCCCTCAAAAAACACAGAAAATAAATCTACACACTGTTGCGCAGAATTGCCACTATAAAACCATTTTATTATTTGAGCTTTTTCCACGGCCATATAAACAGACATGTTTACAAAAATAAATTAAAACTCTACGCTGTTATACCTTTAAACAACCACGGTATAATGACAATGACAATATGACAAATTTGCAGACGGGCGACGAGCAACGACGAGTCAACGAAGCAGATATGTAGTGCAAGTCGACGACGCGCAGTGTTGCCATTTATAGAGTGTATACCTAATCCAAAACTTAACGCACTGTATATACACCATATTATATTTATGCATATACAGATTGAACGAATTTAAAACGGATCATACAATTTAATATATGTCTGTTTGAACTGCATTTGAAATAGTGGACCAATATAAAACTTGGATAAAAATAAATCCATACCTGGGTTTAGACATTGTATAAAATATCGTTCAACTATCTGTCTCGCAACAATGTTGTTTGCGTAACAATGTTGCTAATCGCCGTGTAATAATCCGATTTGCTGATCTTTTTGAAAGTTATATCTTCTTCGTATCTTTAAATAAATCGGATATTTGCCTATATTTTTCATTGTATTTACCAATCTACTACCACAGACTAATAACAAAAATAAACTTAATGGTTTGTAGTTATTTTCTTTTTTTCTTGTAAATAGAAATGTAAATGTTTGACAGCATAATAAAATCGTAGATTTATGTGTAGCTTTCAATTTTTATGATTTCAGAATCCAGCATCTTGCTGAAGTATTGGATTTTTATAATATAATTATTTGACAACCTTTTGTTGGCCAACCACCTACAGCAAAATTGAACCGAAATACATAATATTTCGTGTGTTCCGAATTTATTTCGTCATTTCAATCTGTATATATATATATATATATATATAATATAAAATTAGTATTTCTTGGTTTTTGGTACAATAAATTATATACATGTAGTACTAGATTTTATTTTCCATATAAATCAAAGTTTTAGCAGGAAACCCTTGTCTTTGTCAAGATTCTAAAAGGTACAAGATTAAAAACAGTTTTGTAAAATATGTATATATATATATATATATATATATATATATATATATATATATATAACTTACCAAAACGTAAAACGGGACACTGACATTAATAAAGTTACACATAAAAGTTGATATCTGATATCTCATGGTTTACCGTCATTAGTGTATAATTATTTTTATATGGGCGTATCATTGATGTTTTCGAAAAAGGTAAAAGGAAGATATGTTATGACTTATATGGTCTTTTTATGGTGTTTTATTTATTATTATTTAAATCAGATTGAAATATATTTTATTTAGGTTTTGTGTATTTTTTTGTCATTTATTGCATTGGTATTTCTGTTTATTTATATTGATTCGTATATCTTTCTCTTCTTGTTATTCTATTTGGTTTTTAAAATTTTGATGTTTTCGAAGTCAAATTTTTGCTTCTATTTATTTTCATGTTTTGTGAGCGCAGCGACGTTGTTGTTGTCATATTTGTGAGAACGAATTCTGGATTGAAGCAGTTGACTGGTTTGACCGATATAGACACCTTCACAGGTAATACATGGTATCTCGTAAACAACATGTGATTTTTTGAGTTTAAGTTAGTGTTTTTAGTTTAGTGAAATATTAATTTCACACATTTGGCTCACAAAGGCAACAACGATTGTTGCCTTTGTGAGGCACTGACATGTTATGTTTGGCTAACAGATTTGTTAATTGTTCAGATAAATCTTTTATATATGGAACAGTTGTATAAGTAGTTTTGCTACTGTTGTGTTTATTGTTATTTGTATTATTGTAAAATTTATTAAGTCTTGATTTCAAGATAGTTTCGATTAGATGTTCGAGATATGCATTCTTTAGAAGGACATTTTGTGCTTTTTTATTTCAGTTGGTCTGTATTCTGAACCTGTTAATTGTATAGATTTATCAACAAAACTTATAATTACAGACTTTTATTGGAAAATGGATGATGAAAATTGTAATTGAGATATCGTGTATACCATGTTTATTTTGTAAACCCCATGGTTTTAACTGCATTATTAATGCGATGTAAAGTGATATCCAGAAAATTTATTTTATTAGTTTGTTCAACTTCTATAGTAAATTTTAGTTTTGAATGGTAACTGTTGAAATTATCTAAAATTTCGGTCATTTTATTTGTTGAAATAGCACAGATACAGTCATCCATATAACGAAAATACCAAAGAATTGATGGGTGTGCAATAGGTGCAAGTATTTCTAGTGTCATTGCCCAACTGGTTCTGAAAAAATCTATCATGAGTCGTTTAGATTTTATTGTACCATTGTTCTACAACGCCATCTAACAGACGTTACAACGTCTTTTAATAATTATTTTTAAATTATTGTCCTATGACGGGATAGATTTTGTTTCAATTTGTAGCAACTAAATATGTCGTTCTCATAAGACCTAAAGAGGTTGAAATACGTATAAGGGGCTTACAGATGCCCTGCAATCAAAATTAAATCTTATATCGTCTTTCTGTATTAGCTGAAAATAATCTTTATTTGCTATTTTATTTCCTCACTCAATCTTGGAGTGTTGACATAAGGCGTATCCATTCTTTACTGTGGCTAAGTGTTGATTAGTCACCTCCTGCTGCCTGTCACATATCACACTACTGATGTAAAGTTTCCATGTATTTGGAAAAGCTTTCGCGGTTAGTGTAATCAAACTTATAAAATAATATCTCTATTAATATTAATTAGGTAGACCCAATTTCCCGAGGTTTACAGATTTACGGTGGGTTATCATGTTGATAATATATACTACAAAACTTTTTAGTTTATTTCATTTACACCGATTACATATATAGTCTATATTTCATTCATTTAGATGGCATTACATAGTTATGCTAATCAAAAATCTTATTCGTTTGACACTAATGTGACACTTGTACCTATACTGTCAGTTCCTTTCCTCAAAAAATAAAATAAAAACAATACAGAATATTTGAGGATTTAAAAAAATGTTCTTTAAGTGGTTTACTACCTTTGAATCAGTTAAACCAGATGAAAAGCATGAAAGTACACCTACTGTACAAGAAAATTGCATGAAGAATATTGGTTTCGTCTCAACCAAAGAGGAAGATACGCGTATAGAAACTCAGCAGAACAATGAATTCGGCAACATACACCAAAATTTCAAAAATAAGTTATCTTTTATAATGGCTAAGTTATCTTTCCCTTCACTGAAAGCAGAAGATAGCAAAATCAATCAAAAATGTAATCGTAAAAATATTGCAGCAGCAATAGTTGAAGACAATCTTAAACAACAAGAAATCGATCAGCCTGTAGTGGAGGAAGAACAACCAGTCGAAACGATTCAAGAAACTATTCAAGAAGGTAATAAAAAATGTAATAAAAAGAAGGAATCGGTTTTACCAGAAAAAAAGTCTGCTCAAACATTTAAAGAAGAAAAAATTGAAGAAGAAAAAATTGAAGAAGAAAAAATTAAAGAAGATAAATTTGAAGAAGAAACATTTAAAGAAAATAAATTTGAAGAAGAAACTGTTGTAGAAGAAGACAAAGGGGAAGATCCTCAAGACATTTTAAGAAGACAATGTCGCGAAACTGAGTATTGTCAACGTTTAGTTCAAATATATGAAGCGTGTAATGAAAGAGTTAACTCAAGGCCGCAAACTGCAGAAACCTGTGTAGAAGAGTTATTTGATTTATTAAAAGCTGTTGATAAATGTGTTACAAAAGATCTTTTTGATAAATTAAAATAGAATGAACATTTATTAGCTTATTTGTTTTTTTATTGCAATGTTTGTGTCTAGTAGGTCCTAGAAACGTGCCAATCAATAAAAGAAACAATAAAATTTAAAAAAGTATGTATCAAATGGGAAAATTTATCTATGTATAGTCATTGGTCTCGTTTTAATAATTGATAAAATAATTAAGTATAGAAAAATAATAAGGTAGAACAGGTAGAATAGAAAATAAAGTTCTAGGAAAGGTCGATCAACAACGGGAAGGTGCAGACATAAATGGATGGAGAGACTCTAAAAGAACTTTTCAGGTTAAACGTTCCTAAGTCAGTCTAAACCAAAACTTATATCTACGTTGGCTACGATCCTGTCCAGATGGAAGTCTTTATGTAGGGGTTTTTCTACCAGAATCTTCACTTGGTCTGCATATCATATTGGAAATTTTTCTCTCGATCTTCGACTTCTACCTTTACGTTTACGTCGAATATTGCGCAGCCATGACATTTTTTTTACGTCCCAGACCTCTCCTACCCTCTATTTACCCTTCGAGTATCAGTGATACTGAAAAGTGTATCTTTCTCCTCGTAATATGTGCCCCAAGTATGCAGCCTTCTTACTTTTTACATAACTAAAAAGTTCAGTATCCTGTAAGCCCGCTCTTCTGAGTACTTCCTCATTTCTGACCCTGTCCGTCCATGACATTCTAAGCATTCTACGCAGGTATTACATTTCAAACGCTTCAAGTTTGTTAATGGAACTTGACTTTAACGTCCATGTTTTCATACCGTACAAGAGAACAGGCCACACGTAACACTTAAGCATCTTGTATCGGAGGTTGAAGTCCAATTTGCGATCAGTCAGAAACTTACTAAGCCTCAAAAAAGCATTTCTGGCTTGTTCAATTCTGCTCTTTATTTCATTCTCGGGTCCCAACCCTCGTTCATCAAACAACCCAAGTATTTAAATTGCCTGACCTGTTCGATTTCTTCTCCGTAGACATATATCTTTGCGTTGGGGTAATCATTTCTACTTTAATCATTGTTTTTGTTTTTTTGATATTTATTTTTAAACCCCGAGCTTCACTTGCAAGAGTTAGATAATTTAAAAGGCATTGAAGATCTTCGATGTAATCTGCCACTATGGCTGTATCATAATAACCAATCATAACCAAAATTGATATAAGAGACGTAAATTAGTTTTTGTAGCTCCCATGATCTCTCAAGTAATATTAACATTGAAAACAAAGCTTTTATTTTACCCAATCCTTGTTTTAAACCGAATTGTTTCTTTCCTATTTTTTCTTCATATTTCTGCTTAAATTAATCTTAAGAATTAATTTGAGAGAGTGACTTATAAGACTCATTAGTCTAAAGTCTTTACACAATGATGTATAAAGTTTTTCTTAGAGTGGGGTAAATGTAGACTCTAACCAATTTGTGGCATTATTCCAATTTTGTATATGTAGTTATACATGTTTGTTAGTTCTGAGACATTGTCGTCATCTAGAAATTTAAACCAATCTGGTCAGGGTCTGGAGATTTCCCATTTTTAAATAGGTAAAGAAATAATAAATAAGACTTACTCACAATCAATTTAATTTAACTATCTGACGACCGGTTTCGCTTTCTGCAATACGCAAAGCATCCTCAGGTCTCGATACAAAGTTAAATAAATGCTGAAATGATAAAAACCCATATTAGGGTGTTGTCTAATAAAGATAAACAAAGTAGATGTTGTAAATTACAATAATTATGCCAATATTACATGTCTGTGGTTTTATTTCAAAAAGAGTAAGTTGAATAAAAAGGTATAAAAGTTTTAAAAGTTTAAACAGACAAGGTAAGGCCCACAAATTGTTATAAAATAGTCTATTAGATTGTAATAAATTAATAAATGAGCAAATAAATAAAAATAAACATTACTTACATGCCATCATCATCATCTGATTGTGAGTAAGTCTTATTTGTTATTTCTTTACCTATTTAAAAATGAGAAATCTCCAGACCCTGACCAGATTGGTTTTTATTTCTAGATGACGACAATGTCTCAGAACTAACAAACATGTATAACTACATATACAAAATTGGAATAATGCCACAAATTGGTTAGAGTCTACATTTACCCCACTCTAAGAAAAACTTTATACATCATTGTGTAAAGACTTTAGACTAATAAGTCTTATAAGTCACTCTCTCAAATTAATTCTTAAGATTAATTTAAGCAGAAATGGGAAGAAAAAATAGGAAACAAACAATTCGGTTTAAAACAAGGATTGGGTAAAATAAAAGCTTATTTATTTGCTCATTTATTAATTTATTACAATCTAATAGACTATTTTATAACAATTTGTGGGCCTTACCTTGATATAAACTTTTGAAACTTTTATACCTTTTTATTCTACTTACTCTTTTTGAAATGAAACCACAGACATGTAATATTGGCATAATTATTGTAATTTACAACATCTACTTTGTTTATCTTTATTAGACAACACCCTAATATGGGTTTTTATCATTTCAGCATTTATTTAACTTTGTATCGAGACCTGAGGATGCTTTGCATATTGTAGAAAGCGAAACCGGTAAATTCTGATAGTTAAATTAAATTGATTGTGAGTAAGTCTTATTTATTATTTCTTTACCTATTTGAAATGGACTCACACAAGCAACACATTCATGATTCCCATTTTTATTTTACTAAAGTAAATTTAAAATACTAGTACCAGTATTCGTATACTTTGCGGTATTAAGTAAAGGCCTTGTATCCTGGAAAAGCTCACTTATGTTATTAGTTCATTTTTCCTTTTTTTATTTTAAGTCGGGGACTATTTTACCGGAGTTTCTCATGGAGTAAGGAGTTCTTTTTTTCTGAGTGTAGGTAATTTCTTTGAGTTTTTTGTGTATATTAAACTCGTCATGTTTTCCTTTTAGTTCTTTCATTTAGTTCAATATAGTTCTGTTTATCGAGTCTCGTCTTTATTTTTTCACTTGATTTTTTGTTGAATAACGTCTAGTATTTTATCGGTCACCCAATTCTTTTTCTTTATCTGGTCTTTTTTTGGTTTCAGAACTTCGTTTTCTATGGAAATTATGACAAAATTCAAATCAGCACTACTATCGTCCAAAATATATTAAGATATATTGGGTATATAATTTGAAGAGAAAAAGGCACGGAACGAATTATCGTTGAAGGCAATGTAGCGGGCAAAAGATCCAAATCAAAATCTTCAGCACGATGGTCAGACCAAATAAAGGTCATAACTGGTTACTTATCCTCCAAAACAAAAGCACAGGAGAGATAATTGGAGAGAAAAAGTCGAACGAATTACATGACATCACCACATACTTACGAACGAGAAAAGATAGATCAGGATGAGGGTGTTAGGCATTAAGAGGAATTAAGGTACATTCTCCTGCCAGTACACAATCATACCTATGGATAGGAGTACAAATTATCATACTAAACTTTTTTGTCACTTTCTTGTACAAATGGTATAATGTACTTACCTCCACCATTCTGGTAGCATATATACGGAAACCTCCAGACATTTCCCAGATCCACAGCGAATCCAACCACAGCCAACAAGAACTCAACCTTCTTATTCCACGTCTCTCTTCTTCTTTCCGGAGTCAACGCCACCACCACTACTCTGGTCACATTCTCTTTGTTCGCTTTCGAGTTTTTATTGTCTTTGCTTTTGCTGGGCGACTTTCTGCCTCCTTCATTGGGAGACTTTTTGGCGCCGTCATTGGGGGTTTTGGGCGGCTTGTGAGAGTTCTCTGTGCAGTCTTGGCCTTCGTCGGGTTCTGGCGCGGCCATTTCTGGAAGATATGCTTCAGTTGTGATACTCTCGGTGTTGGATTAGCATGCCTATAAAATAAGAAACGATTGTGATAAATAAAACTGGGTCGATATTTCATAAGTGTAAATTATAAAGATTTTTTTATTGTTATAAATGTATTATTGCTATTTATTAATGAATTTATTAAGGTGCAGAGATTAAGATGAGCTGCACATATTGCTAAGATGAAGACACAAAGTACATAATGAGTACACAAAGAGGTTGACATTCTCAAACCAAGTTTAGTTTTGTAACTGTAACTTACAAAACTTACTATATCGAAAACAATATTATAAAGAAACTTAAAGGTTGTTTCCCACGTACGTTCAACAATTCTGTGGTCGCAGGGTACAAATTCTTAAGTCAGAAATCATTGTATTGGGAAATACGAGTTTGAAATATTTTGACATTTTGACAGAATAATAACTTTAAAATCGTTACTAAATGTAAGAGTTTAACTGTATATCAGTTTTAGTTTATTGTTTATCTAGGAGTTACATAGCTAACTAGATCAAAATTATTTTAAATTCATAAAAAAAATGACTTAAATGACTGAAAGTAATTATACTCCAATGATGACTTAAGTTTTTTAGACCACTGATATCTCAATACATGTATTATGAAAAAAAGGCATCTGTAGTAATTAATTATTATATTACGTATTAAAAATAAATAAGAAATGTATTATAGTAAATATTTAATAAAATCATACAAACTAAACATATTTTGATTCGTTATTCAAAAAATCTTAAAAAATAAATATTACTCATCATCCTTCGTTCTAGATCCAGGGATTTTTAGGTTTTTATAATAGTCATGGAACAGGGGATTAATTAAATGTAAAATGCTAATTAAGTCTGCCTTTTTCTTTTTTACTTATAGGTAAACACTGAGTGTACTGAGTTGCATGCCTCAAATCTGGAATATTTTGTCCTCTTCTTAGAAAACACATTTTTTAAAAGGCACATTTAATTCTAGAGACGTTTTATACAACGGAGTACACATATTTTATTCTTTGAAAAATCTTATCCATTGTATAACATGCCACACAAATTTATTATTCTCGTCATCTTTTGTTTTTAATTGCAATTCTTTGACATATAGCTGCTTAAAATCTAGGAAATCTGGTTGATGCATATCTACCACAATATATTTCGGTCCTATTAATCGGATTAACTTAGACCAGTCACGGAAATGATGAATATCCATGGATATCTTCTTTTTATTCTTTTCTATATTTGCATGCACTGTGTCACATTCCATATGTGAATGTCCACTTCTCATCTTTATTAATCCCATCAGATCACATTGTGATATAGGACAAGTCATACAGTACATAAAGCATGATCAACAAGTTATATAGGACAATTACATAAAACAAAATCAATAAAATATAGATTAATATAAAAAAAAATATGCAATATAGAGCGTCTCTAAACTCGTCGGTCCTCATTCCCTGTAGTCTTTTATTAAGTCAAAATAATCATTTAGGTAAATGGTAAATCCGCTGGACCTGAGGAAATCTATGCTGAAATGCTTAAGAATGGAACTCATAAACTATTTGAAAACTTAACTTATGTGATCAATCAGTGTCTAAATGGACACCCAGTACCAGAACAGTCATACATGCCCTCAATATACAAAAAGGGGGACAAAAGGAATTGTAATAATTATAGAGGCATATCGGTAACCAGCACTCTGAGCAGAATGTATGGACGAATTTTGAGAAATATGATCGAGAAAGAATATAAGCATCATGAAGAGGAAGAACAAAGCGGGTTCCGTGCAGGAAGATCGTGCACCGATAACGTATTTTGTCTTAAACAAATAATAGAAAAAAGATCAGCTAAGAATCTAGAAACTCATATTACTTTTGTAGACCTGCAAAAAGCATATGACAACATCCCCTTAACAAAATTGTGGACAACGTTGCAAAAATCTAACATCAACCACACATTGATAAATGCTGTACAAGAACTATGTAGAGACTCAAAGGCACAGATAAAAACAGCAAAATATCTAACGGAAGAATTCCTGGTTACAAAAGGCTTGCGACAGGGATGCTGTATCTCACCAACCTTATTCAAGATATAGGTTGCAGCAGCATTGGAAAGATGGAAAAGAAAGGTACATAGGATGGGTATAGAACTTAGCAATGAATGCATATATACACTCCAGTTTGCTGATGACCAAGTAGTACTAGCGACCGACAGGGAAGACATGCAGTACATGCTTAGAAAACTGATAGAAGAATATAACGACTGGGGAATGAATGTCAATACAACAAAAACCAAATATCTTTGTATTGGAAACAAGTCAGATAACATAGACCTCGAAAACGGACAACATATTTCCTGCTGTCAGAGCTATGACTACTTGGGTGTTGCCTTTGACAATACAGGAACTGATACACGGGAAATAGAAAAACGAATCACTCAAGCAAAGAAAGTCTTAGGATGTCTCAATGGTATACTGTGGAGTAAAGAGATAACGAAAGGAATAAAATTTAATATATATGAGACCATGATTAAAACTACTCTTCTTTATGGCGCTGAAACATGGAGAATTAGTGAAAAGAACAAAAAGCGAATAGCAATGAGATGCAACGAGAAGATGTTTAGAAGGAAGGAAGGATGGAATAGAAGGAAATATAACTCAAGATATAGAGAAGAAACAATTAAGGTGGTATGGGCATGTCCAACGGATGCCAGCAACAAGACTCCCCAAAAAAGTAGTAGAATGGCAACCGATAGGTCGACGGAAAAGAGGAAGACCCAGATTAGAATGGCAACACGCCGTAAACAAGTCCATGAGCGAAAGAAATTTAACAAAAAACCACTGCGAAGATAGGAAGAGATGGTGTTTAGGTATCAGACAACGTCGAAAGACGTTCTAAACCGATTTATATATATATATATATATATATATATATATATATATATATATATATATATATATATATATATATAATAAACATTTAGGTTGTAAACGCATAATTGGATTAAGCATGCTTTTAATTTATTTTTAAATTTTTGAATATTATTTTCATTTCTTATATTAAGTGGCAAACAATTGTAAAATTTAGATCCTGCAAAATCAGGACTAGTTTCAAAGAGAGTTGTGGAGTGTTTACACACGCTTATCAACCTCCCGTGTCTTGTCGGGGAATTATGAAAGTCAGAGTTGAGGGTAAAAATTTGAAATTTAGTTTTGACGTGAATAATACACTTATAAATATATAAAGCATGAAAAGTCAACAGTCTGTGTTCAATAAAATATTTACGACATGATTGTCTATTATCAATATTGAATATCAATCTAAGAATTCTCTTTTGAGTTATAAAAACTCTAGAAGAGTTTCTAGAGTTTCCCCACAAGAGAACATTATAGGCCATGTATGAATAAACCAATGCATAATACACGCTTATCAATTGATTGGTGATAAATAGTTTTCAACTGAAGGATTGCATAGTAACCCTTATTCATTGTTTTGCAGACTGTAGTGACATTTTCATCCCATGTCATATTACTTTCTAGAATGCTACCAAGAAATAATATTGTATCACTAAAAGGTATTTTCTCAGAACTAACTCTGATTTTATAACCATGGGATGACTTACAGCGCGAGTAGAACTGCATACAAATAGTTTTCTTTGCATTTACCATTAAAGAGTTCCTTTTACACCAGGTTATAAATTCCTGTGCTACTAAGGTCATTTTTAATATGAGTTCGACTTCTGTTGACTCGTCAACTACAATTGTTGAATCATCTGCATAAAGAACTGCAATTAAAAAAATTATCAAATCGTTCACGTATAAAAGAAATATTAAGGGTCCCAATACGGAGCCTTGCGGTACACCTTCATCAAGATTAAAAACAGATGACTTCTTATTATCGACTTTTACTAAGACTTTACAATGTTGTATGTATGACCTTAACCAGTTCAAGAAATGACCCCGAAAACCAAGGGCTTCTAATTTATGCAGTATAATTTCATCCGTTACCATGTTACCAATTCCACTGGTAACTTTAACATCTCAACATATAAGAACCTATAATGTAACAGAAATTTAAACTAATAACATTTAACGGGTTTTCACCCAAATATTTTAGTGGCTCAAAACATGTACACCTAGTAAGTATTAACCAAATTTTGTATTAACCTTAGTCAACATTTCAACTTTTACGTTTTTTTTAATCAAAGTGGTTATATACTTTCAGGTTACACTGATGATAGAATATAGATTCCGAAAACGTTTTGTAATTGTGATATAGCCCGTTTCGGTATTTTATTATACACCTTTTATAAAGGATTTTGAATAAAAAAAATTTGTGATACATGATATACAGCCAGCTACAGGAACTTAGTTTCCTAGTGGATCATATATCATCTAGTAATTATGGTGATGAAAATTCATCACCAAAATGAAAATATTGTTTAAAGCTTCAAAATTGAAGTATTTTAATTACGAAATAAATTTTATTTAGGAATTTGCGAAATTTTACGTATATTTTTTTAGTATATCTGTATATGGGTCATTAGCGTATTTAGATTATGTAACGTATGTGACACTTGTGACAGTTGATACTATATGAGAATATACATTAATTTACAATGATAATTAAAATAATAATAATATGTATGTGTAATATATATGTGTAACAGTCTATATTAAAGACTGTCAACTTCTTCAAAAGATCTAAAACGTACATTTTAACACACATACATATTATTATTATTATAAATTATTATTGTAAATTAATGTATATTCACATATTGTATCAACTGTCACATACGTTACATAATCTAAATACGCTAATGACCCTGCGTGGTTGATGCGTTAATAATAAAAAAAAAGTTTCCTAAAATATAATTATCAATGCATATCTGTGGCATCCTTAAATCAGTTTAATCCGTTTACATTAAGATTACAAAATACCGTTTTTAAATATTCTTTAATACAATAAAAACTCAATTTTTAATATCGAACAGATTACAACTGTCAACTACGGCACATTAAAAACCCCTTTCGTTTCAAATCCGACGAAAATCTTCAACAACCCTAAAATAAAAGTCCATCTTTCGACGTATTGCTTGCCTTAAAAGAGCCGTCAGCTTGATTTGGATAACGAAACCAATAAGACATGCGACCAGCTCCAAGAAACGACGGCTCAAGAAAGATTATTGCAAGAATTCACCGAAGTTTTCAGAGAAGTCGTGTCTTCTCGCAAGAAAATCGGAAAAGGCGGAAATGTATCATCGCGAGACGTGCCAAATTGGCCTCATCGTCCAAGAAAATCTGCACCGTGTACCGTTTAGGTATTAAACTCATGGTATTTATTACAGGACTAGAATTTTTTCGCCAAAAAAGCCTGTGTAAGAATATTTACTTTTTGCGTATTTCTACAAAGTTTTGTGCATCTTATCGCTTTATCTCTTGTTTTGTTTTATTTTATTTTCCTTATATTATTCTACCCATTTGTAATAATCTCTTTACTTGTATTTTTATTGGAACATAAAGACCATGGCGGATCTGTTTTGAAGTGGATGTGAGAGGTGGAATTCTCATTTTTGCAGAAAAAAATGTGTGATAACTTTGATATAATAATTGACTCAACAAAAAAATTAAAATATTTAAAAATGATTAAAAGTATTGTTTTTTTTTCGTCATAATAAAATTAAATATTAAAAAATTGAATTTTCTATAAGATACGACTAATTGAAATGTTTTAATGTATTACCCTTGCTTCAAAATAGCAATAAATACAAAAAAGGGAGGGAAAACAAGCCTGTTCATATTTAATGTTTTTCGACTACGTATAGGTACTGCTCCATAGCGGCGCGCGCGGCTCGTGGCCTAAAAAAGTGGTGAAGATGAGGAAAGCTTGCCATAGCCAAAGGGAGCTTTGGTACTTACTTCACGCCCAAATCTCATTAAAAATTCGGTAAGAAAATGTATAGAGTTTAGGGCCCTAATAACTTGAAAACAGTTTTTTAGGGTACTTACTTACTAGATACGATTCGTTCTGCTTGCCTGGGGTATTTTAGTTCTGAGCCTTGACATTTCATTATGGGTTTTTTTTGGCGATTAAAACACCACATCTGCTAAAACGGGTTGATGAGTTTCGATTCAGCCGCCCACTCTGGGTCAGATGCTGATTGCAGCCGACCACTCTGGATCAGACGCAGATGTTTAAAATATTGGTTGGTCGACCATGTAAAAGAACATCCATTTTATCTTCATTTTTCCAATGCCTAAACCGCGTCTTAATATATTACACACCAAGTCATTAATTGGATTCATGGCTGTCTTAAATTATTTTTGTCCAAACGAAATCCACGAGAGCACTTTGTTTTCGAAATCCGAAACAAACCACAGAGAAATGTATTAATAAAGTGCACAAAACAAATAAAATTAATACTGTGACTAAACTTAACTAATAAATACTATACTATACCCTATACTATATAAAAAATATCTCTATATAATAGACTAAATTTCTAAATATTGTCGCTGATGGAAATTTCTGAAAAATAGGAATACCAAATACAGATCTAACTAGTGGGCGAAGACGGAGAATATATTTTTAGACGGAACTGCACTCGCCAGTTTTCTCAGTTATTACTAAGGATAGTTTGATGTCACGTTGCCATGGCAACCGTGAACGCTTATGCAGATGGATTTCGCATTTCAAAAATGATATTTACCTATTACTGAATCCTACACTGCTAGTGACCGTCAAGTACCTACCGCTAATAAAGCTAGTTGTCTTTATTAATTTTTAGATTAATTAAAAGAGAATCAATAATTGATTTCAGAATTTAGATATATTATTGTTGCTTTTATTTTTTATTTATTTGTCTCAATTTAATTTTTTTTTGGTGAACCTCACCTTCACCTACTTCACCTGACCGGCCGCCGCTGCTGCTCCGTGTGTAGCTCCTCAACCATCATATTCAGTACATTCCACGTGTCGGCTATTAGTACTACATTATCTGCATATCTAAAATGGTTCAAGTATTTTCCGTTAATAGGGATTCCTTTATTTTCCCAGTCTATTGACTTAAAGATATCCTCTAGGGCAGCTGTAAATAATTTTGGAGATATTGTGTCTCCTTTTCTTACTCCTCGGTTGAATTTAACTGGTTTTGTTTTAATTCCATTACCCAACGTCACTATCATTTCAGCTTGTTCGTAAATATTATGTATTAATATTCTGTATCTGGAGTCGATCCGGTTGTTGACTAATGCTTCTTCTATTGCCCACAGTTCTACGCTATCAAAAACTTTTTCATAATCTATAAAAGCCAGACATAATGGGAGATTGTATTCGTTAGTCTTTTCTATTAGGATTGTTAAAGTATATAGATGGTCACAGGTGTTGTACCCTTTTCTAATTCTCGCTCGTTTTACTGGTTAATATCCGTCAAATTTAATTGTTAACATGTTTGTTATAATCTTTATAAAGTCCACTAGGAAACCAAGTTCCTGTAGCTGGCTGTATACCATGTATCACAAAAAATTTTTATTTAAAAAATTTGTAAAGGTTTTGTAAATTTGTGAAAGAAGTGTAGTATTGCTTTAGCAGTATTCCATTGTTCGGGTATATTGCCTTATGAGTAGACATTTATTAAATAGTATTTTTAGATATGTGATGGCCTCTTCTCCGCCTTCCTTTAGCATTTCTGCTAGGATTTTACAGCTCCTAGGAGCTTTATTCCTTTTTATTTCTTTTACTGCTCTTTCTATTTCTTCGTGGCTTAGGCATCACTTCTGAGTTGATATTTGTTATCTGCCTTTTCAAGTTCTGCTTTGAGGAGTTAGAGGGATCGTTTCTGGAACGGTACTAAGGAGATAGACACAGAATTCCTAAAAAAGGATCGAACATGAATTTCAGCAAAACTAAACTAATGTCAAACAAAAATGACAAATCTATGATTAACATCGAAGGGACAGAGATAGAACACATAGATGAATATACATATCTGGGTCAAAATGTCAAGGTAAGTAAAGAAAATCAGACTACCGAAATAAGCACACTTGCATCAATGGGATGGGCAGCATTCGCAAGACTCTCATGCATACTTAAAAATAAAAATGTACCTCATAGACTGCGAACCAAAGTGTTTAATTCCTGTATCGTACTTGTACTTACATATGGAGCTCAAACCTGGACATTCACTAAAATAAACATGGAGAAGATCAGTAAAACTCAGAGAGCTATGGAACGAGAGATGCTGGGTATCCCACTATAAATATATAAGACCATAAAATCAAGGAACACACTCATAATAGAAAAAAAGTAAAAGATGCTGTCGAACAGGTAGCTCAACTGAAATGAAAATGGGCTAGACATAACGAACGTCTTAAGGATGGCCGATGGAATAAAGAAATCGGGAATTAGCAGCCATATAAAGCCAAAAGACCACAAGGAAGACCGCAAATGCGCTGGAGCGACGATAATAAAAGAACTGCAGGGCCAATGTGGAAACGTCTTACAAACAACATAGATGAATGGCGAGAATTAGGAGAGGAGTATATTCGGCAATCTGAAGAGAGAGAAGGGTTAAAAAAATAGGTACTGCACTTGTACATGACTGCACTGCACATACTGCACTTGCACATCTTCATAAGTAATAAAATAAAACAGTCCAGCAAATTTAATTAAAAACCATTTAATAGATTTTGCGTAATAATTTTGCAATCTAACGTTGCTTGGCACTTTTCTTATGTAAAAAGTAATAATCTCAAGATGGGTAATGATCCCAAATTATTTAAAGAAAGAAACCAAAAGAAGCAAATGGTACGCCACTATGATACTTTTTTAAGTCTATCTAAGGATGTGGCAGTTTTTCAGGTGGAAATAACGGGAAGCCCTCACTGCGTGGAAGAAATAGAAAGGCAGGAAAGAACGTTCTGTTCAGTTGCCATCTTCACAGATAGTCAGGCAACGCTTGAGCTACGCAATTATGTAGAAGTCAATTTTAAGCTATTATGGGATCCACTGGGCAACATCTTCTTTGTTGTTCCACTCTTCGTGCCGTATTTTCATTGACCTTTGCATTTCTTCTTTTATTATATACCTTTTGTCAAATGCTCTTTTCTCTTATAGAGATGTCTCTTTTCTAGTGCTAATACATGCAGAGAAAGACAACCCGTGATAGTCCACCAGGCCGCCTCAGATACAGTCCTGTAGGCGCATGCTACTCGCAACAGACTCATTCTGTCTACTTCTGTCATAAGCCAGGCAAATGGTATCTTGAGCATATTAGGTATCATATCTACATATAATTTAAAATATTAATAATTATTATGTATTTATACAATAATTTTTGTGTTTTACATATTTAAAGTGGTATTTAATTATTCAATTAGCGTTTTGGATTTTTTGTATTGTGTGTGAAAGAGTTGAAAGACAAGTTTACATTTGCCTACTATTCTTTATATAAAATCCACAAGGAAAACAATTACTGTAGCTGGCTGTATACCACGTATTACAAAAAAGAAGTTAGTCTTCGTAAATATACCCATTTACGAAGACTAACCTCTTTTTTTTATTCTTTATATATTTACCTTATATGCCCCCGGGGGCTTAGCCCCCAAAACTCTCCCTCATGGGTGCGCCACAGAAAGAGTCCATGACAGAACAATTCAACCAGTAGGTGGGGCAGAAGGGGGACGCCAAAAAAGAAGGCTATGATATCTTAAGTGTGAAATAGACCAGACAGGGAGATCACTGTAGGAAATACCCCTGTAGAATGGACGAATTGGGCTAAATACCTCCGAGTCATACTAGACAGAAAGCTTACTTTCACGGAGCACGTAAAACAAACTGTCTACAAAGCAAAAGCACTAAGAAGTCAACTCTCTTCGCTAATCGCCAGAAAGAGCAAACTTCGCTTTAAGACAAAAATGAGGGTAGCTAACAGTATAATACTACCCTCTCTAACATATGCATCTGCCGAATGGGGACACACATGTAAAACGAATAGGAAGAAAATCCAAACAACACAAAACTGGATAATCAGAGAAGCACTGAATTTACCTCAATACGTCCCACTGAGGTACTTATTCAGAGACTCTGGACAGAAAAACATCCTAAGGACAATGGACGAAAGAGCATACACTATTTTCAATTGTCTCGTAAACCATCCAAGCAGGACATTAAGAGAGTTGACAAACTACGACATAAACGCTAGAACGGTACATAAACGGCCAAAGCAACAACTCATTGGATATAGAAAAGAAGGATAAATGAAGAAAGAGGTAGACACAGAGTCGACTACAGAGTATATTAGACAGTGAGCACCAAAAAAATCTAGCACATAAGAACAATGTACACCGGATTGTGGGCAGACACTATACACCCGAGAATGCACACCCCACCACCCGCACACTTAGGTTAAATTGGGTTTAGATTAGAATAATGATAACAAAAAAATACAAAAACATATACACGGAGTGTGTGAGAGCGTTATACACTTGGGAATGCACACTCCTTAGTTAAGGTCTTAGCATAGAGTTAGTAAAAAAAAAACAAAATCGCTCACTGTCTAAACAAAGTCATGTCATCTTCAAGAAAAACAGGAACACCCGCTGCATCATAAAATGTATATAAAACGAATAAGAATGTATAAAAGGCCCGTCAGGCACTCTATACCAGCCAGCAGGCATAGGCCCTTCAGGCAGATCAAATACTGATCAATCGCGGACTATGAGCATCGAGGCCATGTGCGACAAGCATGGGCTCGGTGGCCAGGACTCACTTCTCGAGCACCCAGCCGGCGAGGAGAACAAAATTTTTATTTTGTCAAATCGGCGACTGAGTGAACGAGCACACACATAATTTTCAGACAGAGGGCTGTCGGTCTATACCGATGGCTCTCTGTCTGGAACACACGCTTTTTTTAGGGACATGAGTCCCGAAGTAAAGTTAGAGTAACTTCTATAGAGTCAGTAAAGTTAAATAGGGAGAAAAGCCGACATGTCTGCTTCCCCTACATTTAGGTGGCCTAACCACAGTCATTAAAAACAGAAGGTGTCTCATTACCCAAGACACCTTACGTAAAATTCAGATTATAAGCATCCTCACGTAAGTCACACGTTGAGGAGGGGTGGAGAAAAAGCCTGGGGCTCAGAGAGGTAACACCTCAACTAGTGATGTGTGACCGGTTTGGTTTTCGGACATGTGGATCCCATTCTTACAGTGGTATACACATGTTCCTAGAGGTAGGGTTGATCGCTTCGCGTGATTGTGTGTAAGTATGAAATTTTATTTAGAGCAATAAACATTTTTATTTTTATTTATCTGATATATATATATATATATATATATATATATATATATATATATATATATATATATATATATATATATATGTATATATATATATAGTTTGAGTTTAGTTCTTGAACCTTTATATATATATATATATATATATATATATATATATATATATATATATATATATATATATGTATATATGCCTATATATATATATGTATATATATATATATATATATATATATATATATAGGTATATATCTATATATATATATATATATATATATATATATATATATATATATATGTTAGAAGTATTTTATGCCGTTCACTATAGTAGATAAAGTTTTTAACCAATCAAGATAGTGATATGAAACGACCCTGCTGATGTAATAAATATGTTTTAAACTACCGCAACAAGGGGTTTTGTGTGACAGCATAAATGTTAATTTCGTGTGATGTATTATTTGGGTCAGGACATTATATTTATATGATAGATGAAAATAGGTATTGGTTGCGTTTCTCCAAGGACACAATGTCGCTTTTACAACAAACTCCTCGCGGTGGGTTTGATGATGATCATGCGGGAAAGGTTTGATTAATGTATATTCTATTGTCATTAACTCGATTTCATTAATAAGATATAAATGTATTTATAGTGATGTATAAAAAAAGGATGGTAATTCGCCAATATACTGATTTCTGAAAGATTTACAAAAATGTTTTAAATCGAAGTTTTTGAGATAAATGAGAATATACTGGGTGTACCTACCGCTAGTCTAGAATAAACCGATACAACGGATTTTCGAAGGATCCGACAGTGGCCCAATGTTTTATAACCTGCAGAAGATGAGCAATTATTTAAACATGTGTAAATTAGATACAATGCGAAGTTAGCGGACGTGTAGTTTTACCGAGTCGTTAACTTTTAACCCCAAATTTGACATTTTTCAGGAAGGAATATCCCCAAAGAAATTAAAATTTATTGTCTGCCTATGAGGGTGATACCCTTTGTTAGTCCAGTTCTTTAATGTCATAACTGTCTTTTATATGGGCATTCTCTCTTTTACCTCAATTACCACCTGAGGAGGTAGCCGAGAAAATTTTAACATCTCTCTCACCTATTTCTGGAGATTTTAAATTACTTTTCAGTTCCCTGCAGTATTCTGAGAATCTCATATCATTTGAAGAATATCTCAATATTCTTCTTTCTAAAACTGATTCTGCTGTGGGTCCTGATCAGGTTTCATAATCTATGTAAAAAAAATTACTGCACTCTGGATCATTACTCTTAATTCAATTCTTTAATGAATGTATCCGGAACGGACAGGCTCCTACCTCGTGGAAACAAATGCTCATAAATTACCTATTGTTAAACATGGAAAAAATAAAACTGACCCACTTAATTATAAGAAAATTGCTCTTTCATCGTGCGTTGGTAAAATGCTGGAAACATTAATTAAAAACAGAATTGAGTGGTTCTTAGGACATAATCATTAATATACGATTATGCATTTCAACGGTTTGAGAAGGGGTAGAGGTTGCATGGAATGCATTTTTTTACTAGATTCTAAAATACTACAAGGATTTTCATTGAAACAATTTACCGTAGGACTTTTCTTAGATATTTCAGTAGCTTATGATACTTTCAACATCTCTCTTTTATACTCTTCTAAACTAATTAAATACAACATTCCTATTCAACTAGCAAATGTCATTCATTCTATATTCAATGATCGTAGTATTTACGTAAAGGACAAAACTGGTCAAATTCATGGTCCAAGAAAAAATAATCAGGGCTTACCTCAGAGCTCCCCTCTAAGTCCAATATTATTTCAACTGTATTGTCTATCTTTATATGAGGTTATTTCCAACGGTTGTAATCTGATACAGTATGCAGATGATTTGGTGATTTTGGTTAGTGGGGCTGATCTACTTAAATTAATTCATTCTTTGAACTTGTTAATGGAAAGGATGGATCTCTGGTTATTAGAACAAAACTTTAATCTATCTTACAATAAACCCTCAGCAATTATATTTAAAAAAGGGAATCGTAAAGTTAATCCTCCGAATGTAAGAATTAGA